ATCAGTAGCTCATTTAATGACGTGGCGGGCTTGCTGCCGAGCTCGATCACCAGATTATTATCACTTTGACGTGCTCATCCATGAACTGAGTGATATAGTCGGTCAAGGCTCGCGGTCTTGTTGTTTCACAATTTCGAGGTGAGACAGGGGAAGCTTCATCAACCGTTGAGCCGAGAACTGGTTGATGAACATCTTTCGCAGCTGCTGGTAGCTACTGAAAGAGTTAACACCGAGGTGACTAGATTTGACCTTATCATCCAAATGCCACATATATCTTTCTTCTCCAATTAAGATATGTCACCTGTCAGGCTAAAAATCACCTCCAGCATAGAGTATAACTTATTTTTTCTATTTAATTTTTTTTCCTTTGTATGCAATTAAATTATTTTAAATAATTTATTATAAATTCAAAAGCAATTTTTATTCATTTCCATTTATATTTTATATAAGAAAAAATCAAACTCGTAAAAAAAATCATAATATTATATATTTTTTGTGATTTCATATTTTAAATACTTTTGGATAAACTTGTAAAAGAAAACATGGCGTACATGTAAATGGACTAAATATAGAAATCTAAATTATTTATTTTAAATGGAAAATTTAATTTATTATTTAATTATCTATACTATATCTAAATGAGACTATAGAAGAGAATCTTTACCTCTCCATTTTGCCCTCAACTTTTCAACATATACCCAATTTACCTTCTAAACTTCTAGGGAGACGACTATTCAAACGAGATGTCTATTGAGAGAAATTAATCTAAATGAGTTTTGACTGTTCGACAAACAATGCATCCATTTATGGATAGGTGTGATTGTAAATTTTTATAAATGAGTTGTCAGTTGAGAGAAGTAGTGTGTTTATTCACATATGGGTGTGATCGATCTAGAGGTGTGAAGACGGAACAATGAGTCTATTACCTTACAAACTATTTATAAAAGGAAAGAAAAGTAAGTCGTGATACATCAAAATTTGTATTCTTTTCTTTCTCCCAAAATATCTACAAAGGTTTTTCTTTTAAACGCTCTAAAAAATAATCAAAATTAAAAGTTTTCTTTCTTTGTAGGGAAACATTGAATAAGTCAAAATGAAGATTTGCGAAATAATTATATTTAATGTTCTTATTCATCCCCTTTGTTGTTTTCATGATCTTAACTATTTTGAATTTCTTATTTTATATTTATACTTTTTTATTAATTAATTAGAATTTCTAAATTGATGTGATTAATTTTGACCAATAATTTTTGTATTATGATATACTATGACGGTTATGTTTTCTAAATTGATGTGAATTTTTGTATATAATATTATGAGTGTACTGTTTTCTAAATTTAGTGATTATTGACTGTTGTTTTCTTGATCTTTAACTTCTTTCGAATTCCTATAAAATTAAATTTAATGTTTGTATTTATTACTTGATTGTTGTATTCACGAACCTTTGAATTTCTTATTTTATATTTATTATTTCTTTTATTAAAAATAGGTTTTGTTGATTTAAATAGAAGTATACTTTAACGAATTCTGAAAAATTTTAATCCAAGAGATGGTTTTCAGTTCTCACCAAGCTTCAACTAAAATAGAAAAAATTAAACAATAAAATCTTCAGTCAATTTGAGAGTAACACAATCCAAGTTAAAAATAGAAAGAGAGACCATTATAAAAATTACAAAAAAATCATATTTATCTCTGTTGACCGTTGTTGTTTTAATAATCTTAGGATTTCTTATTTTATATATATATATATATATATATATATATATATTTTGTATTGTGATATATCCTGAGTATTTTGTTTATTAAATTTAGGTAGGAGTGATTTTTGTTTTCTTATTAAATCATTGGAATGATCAAAGTTGTCCATCCTGACATGCAAAAAAATGTTGTTTAGAGAGGGTTCTTCTTTAATAAATGTTCAAATTTGTTATATACTTCTTTAATTTTTTTCTAAATTAACCTATAGAATTATTGTTAAATATATATATGTCATTTTCTTCCTAAATCAAACTATTCACAAAAGACCAAACAATTACTTATGAAGTAACAATTTTACTTTACAAGTTTCATTTGAATTACATTATATGTAATTAAAATTTAATTACCTATATGATCTCTATCATTTTTTTCCTTTTTTGTTTTTTTAAATTCGTGTCAAAATATTTCATATTTAAACTCAATAAAAAAGTTTATTTATGATAACACTTTTCTTTATGTAACCACATCCATTGGATTAACCTCTCTCAACGGACATATTTACCTAAATAATTTGCTCTTGTCAACATACCAAAAATTGAAGGACAAAATATAAATCTTTTAAAATTTAAATGGCAAAATAGGAACACAAAAGTCCAATTAATAAGTATAATATGAAAAACTAACACAGTAATCTAATATATAAAATAATTAATTTAACAATTTAAGTACTAAATATTTCTTCTTAAGTACTCAAATATGATCCCAATATATAAATTATTGGTCAAAACTAACTCATAAACGTGAAATAAGGAATTTAAAAGTAGTTAAGGCATATATACAGTAACAATTGATTTTACATTAGGAAGAATACGAACCTTAAAACTAAAATAAGTCATTAATATATTAATATGAAAATATAATTTTATAATTGACCTCATCATCAAATCAAATCAATTTATAGATTCTCGAATCTTCAATGTTCCCTTGCAAATAATAAAAACTTTTAATTTTCATTCTTTTTGAAAAGTTTTGAAAGTTTTGATCTTTCTGCAAGAGAAAAATCTTCATAGACATTTTGAGAGAGAAAAATACACAATTTTATGTATGATGTTTTGTTTCATGTTATATATATGTTTCTAATCACACCTATTTGGGAATGGATATATCATTTCATCGAATCACACCTTATGGATTAACTTATCTATCAACTTATCTATCTAAAAAAATACATCAGTCTGTTGTGTTATATATAAACAATTATCAATCTCGATCGCACCCATATGAGAATGAACACACCACTTCTCTCAACAGCCATCTCGGGCCAATAGTTGCATCCCACATAAGTTTCAACCGTAAAATAGGAGACAAAAATAGAAGGCAAAAATAGATTATTAGTAGGGAGGCAAGTGAAATTTAATAGTTTGATTTAAAAGTTTAAATTTGGCGAAGGAGGGAGATGCCTCTCAGTTTCTACAAATTGTGTAAGTAGAGTGTTTTATATTTTTTATATTAATTGTTCACAAAAATATATATTATTTCTTACCTTATTTGTTCACATTTTTTTATTCCTATGTTCTTCCTCTGTTCACCATTTGTTCCTCTATTGACCGTATTTGTTCTTCTGTTTGCCATATTTGTTATTTATTCTTCCGTTCACCGTATTCATCTATTTCTTTTAGGTCTTAGTGTTTCTATTTCTATAAAAGTCTATGTTATTTATATTTTTTTTAACAAATAAAGTAATACTTTTTGAGAAATTTCATACCTTGGAATAAAACTATTATGTATTTTAAGAAATATTATAACTTTTCATTTTTAAAAAGTATAGGAAGTTTAACTTTTTCTAATATAGATTTAATTTTGACTTTTTATGGGTAAGCTTTTAAATTTTTTTGTCAATTAGTAACTGCATCTAATTTTTTTTTTTCTTTTTAAATCCAAATGATTTCAAACTTTATCTTTTTAGAGCTATACTATTATTTACATTTTTATTTTGATCTCTATTTTCAAATATGAATTCACTCATGTGATTTGGGTGTCTGAAGGACCACCTCGTCGACTCCTCTCTTCAAAAGATGTTTGGATTCTTATTCAGTCCAAGATAATATAGATCTTCATATAGAAATTTGGAGGTTAACAATATCTTAAATTTTCCTGTTACGAGAATATAAATAAAATATGAATAATATAAAACACACAATGCAAAGAGTGAAAAACCCACACTAGAAGTTAAATATATTCACTCTTGGCTACCTTTACTATATATATATCTAGAGGTTCGACTATGAAACTTGACATCTACGAGAGATCGGTAGAGAAATTGTCACTCAGAAGAATTTTCTTTCTCAAAATTTTCAAAATTCTTACGAAATCCATACTTGAATGGAGTCTATTATTTTTTTTTATTTATTTATCTTTTGTTTATAGCAATAGAGAACAAACAAACTAAGGGTAGCAACAAAATAGATAACAAACAAACTAAGGGAAGCAACAAAGACGATCAGAAGCAAGAACTCAGGTGATGGCTAAGAGAACTCCCTCAAGCCAAACCCTATTCACACACTGCACTAGAGCAGCTCTAGCTAATTGGTGCGTAGCACCATTACCCTCCCGAAAAGTAAAGCAAAAATTAATAGAACCTGACAGATTGCAATAACGCCGAACATCGAAAAGAAGCATCCCCACTTTCGATATATCCTCGATATCATACATCCCCACTTGGGGTGATGGGGGAGTCTATTTTGGTAAACTCTCAAAAAGAAAAATTTCCATTCAACCAAATATCTTTTAAAAGATAAAGCTGAAAATCAATCATTTTAAAATTTGATACATCGTTTCTTCTATGTGTACTACTACCTTGATGACATAAAAGTTAGAACACAAAAGTTAGAAAGGAGGTTATTAATATTTTTGTTTAAATTTTATTTTAATCTCTAAGATTTTAAACACTTTTCTATTTTCACCTTATCTCTATCTTAATCTCGGGGAGGAGATTCGAACTCACGACTTTTTAGTTTGAGATATATGTCAATTATCGTTGAGCTATGCTCGCTTTGACGACGAGTATTAAGTTATTGAATATTATATGACAAAATAATATATAGTAATGGAAAAATAGTTAGTTTATTATATTTAAAAAAATCAAAATAAATAGTTTAAGTAACAAAATATTTAGAGACCAAAATTAAACAAAGAACAAAGTTACCAAAAAGAAAGATAACGTAAATTCCTGTTTGATTCCATGGTACAAATCTTTTCTTGATGCTGACGCAAAGGAAATTCATGGCGGATTAGCTACGGATTTTCTCGGATTCCGTGTTCTTGCACTGATTTTTCTTTCCCATTTCTTTGGAGAAACTCAGAAACAAAGACAAATAGTGGGCATAAAACTGTATCCAGATGGAGGCAAAGAACATTGTGCTCAGAAAAGGTAGGAAAGCTCTTATTCTGTTTGCTTGATGACAAAGAAAACAGGAAACGAGAAAAGTAGTGATTTCTTACTTGATGCCAAATCCAAGGAATTTATGGCATTACAAAACCAACGATGAATTTTGAAGTAGAACAGAAGTTGAGATTGAAGCTGACAAAATTGGAGGCATAATGGCCAGACTTCTTGTTAGTATGGCCGGAATTCTGCTCGGGAAGATAACCGAAGCCGCCGGCCGATCAGAACTTTGGCCGATTCGAAGCGAACTAAGAAATCTGGAAACCATTGTGTCGTCTCTCAAGGGCGTACTTAGGGACGCCGAGGAGAAGCAGGGGAACCGTTCGAATCTCACTCCTCTGCTTAAACAACTTCAAGATGCGTTTTCTAAAACCGACGATCTAATTGAAGAATTGGATTGCGAATATTTGATGTGGAAGATGAAGAATCGGAGGAACGATGTCGGGGTAAAGCTACTCCAATTCTCTTCTTGTTTCTCTTCCAATTTCGTGGTTTCTGCATCTGGAACTGCCCATAAAATCAATGAAATCATAGAGCGGTTAGTTGGCATTGATAAACAACTGTCTGAATTCTTTCTGGTTGAACAAGAAAATGAACATATCAAACGATTGAAGAGTGAAATGAGTCTGCGCACCGCCATTACTGGATCGCAAGTTTTCGGTAGGATTTTGCGCTCAAAGAAAGAGGCGATTCTGTCTGATAATATGGATTCCATTATTGGTAGAGATAAAGCAAAGGAGAGTATCATCAATAAACTTCTAACGAATGGAGATGATAAACAGAAATTTCCAGCTATTCTTTCAATCCATGGCAGTGGAGGGATGGGAAAGACCGCTTTGGCCAAGTTGGTCTATAATGCCCACCAAGTGTTTGATCATTTTGACAAGAGAATGTGGGTATGTGTGTCTGAAGATTTTGATGTCCGGAGGATTAGAAGGGAGCTTCTCAGCTCTGCAACAGGAGAACAAGTTCCCGACGCTGCCTTAACAGCCGATCGTTTACAAATTCGGCTGCAACGGAACTTGATTGGGAGAAAATTCTTGCTCGTTTTGGATGATTTTGGCGCTTTGAATCCCAAGAGAGAATCAGAATTGGAAGAAATATTGAAGATGGGTGCCGATGGGAGCAAGATCATTATCACTACTCGTAGTGAGCAAACTCTAAATGATGTTACAACACACGAGATTGAAAGATTGGACGAGGAGGAATCGATGGTTTTTTTAAAACATGCATTAAAAGACAAAGAACTTATTGGACATCTTCATGAAGTTGCAGAAAAGCTTGTGCCGAAATGTGGAGGAGCTCCTCTGGCAATCAAATGCTTGGCGGGACTGCTTTCTTCAGAAGCTAGTGATGGAGCCGAGCGCGCAAATGCCAAGGACTTGATCGAGCTATGGAGACGGTTAGAGATGAAGGGTTCTTGTGTCTTACCTGCATTCAGACTCAGTTATGATCTAATGCCGTCTTACTTGAAACCTTGTTTTCTTTGCTTGTCATTGTTGCCAAAAGATTATGTGTTCTACTCATTTGAGCTAATCCAACTGTGGATGGCACAAGGAATCCTTCATTCAAGTAGCGAAAATTCTGATGTCGTTGGGCAGAGATACTTCAATGAATTGTGGTCTCGCGGTTTACTCGAAGATGTTGAGGAGCATGCCTTCGGATATTGGTTCAAAATCCATAGCCTTGTCCATGATCTTGCAGTCCAACTGGCTGAGAAGGAACAAGAGAACCTAGGAAGTTTGCATCATCTTTCATTTGTTGACAGCAGCAACAAGGATTTGCCTCTGTCGACAATCGGTAAAATTCGTTGTCTTTCCGTTCCGATGGGAGGTGTGGAGCCAAAGATCAACAGACTCCCTCTTGTCAAATGCATCAGCAAGTTCAGGCAACTAAGGTTTCTGAACTTGTGCAACTTTTCCTTGGAAGAAATCCCGGCCTCCATCGACATGCTGAAACATTTGAGGTACTTAGATTTGCGTGGGAACCGAAGAATCAAAAGGTTGCCCGAATCGATTTGCAAGCTGCAAAGCTTGGAGACCCTGATACTTGCATTCTGCTCAGAGCTTGAAGAGCTTCCCAGAAATATAAAGAACTTGATCAATCTCAGAATGTTATGGATAACCACAAAGCAAGCCAGCCTGGGAAACGATGGCATAGGAAACGTAACGTCGCTTCGTTTTCTGGCCATCGGAGGGAGCGAAAACTTGACTCACTTGTTTGAAGATATTGACAAACTCGATTCCCTTCAAACACTGATAATTTATGATTGCAAATCGCTGCTAACACTGCCAGAAGGGTTGAAAAGCTTAAGTGGGCTATGTAATATGGCAATATGGGGGTGTGAGCAGCTGAAATTCACATTCTCACTGGGAAGCCTTGGTCTTAAGAAACTGATACTCAGAGGATTTCCATCATTAGCTCAGTTGCCAAACTGGATAGCTGAATTAGATGAGAGTCTAGAAGTGCTCGAAGTTGGAGAGTTTCCAAAGCTAAGTATATTGCCTTCCTGGTTATCAAATTTATGGATACTTCGAATGCTTGGAATCTCCAATTGCCCCAAGTTGACGGATAAATTGCCTCAGTATATGATGGAAAACTATGATGAGTTGGAAGAGTTGAGGATCACATTTTGTGGGTTGTTGAGCAAAACAATCATGGAACCAAGCAAGCATCGCGGCTTGCATATCTCCAGTATCCCTAACATTTATGTTGACTCGAGAAAAATCATTAGTGACAAGGCAGTTCATGCTGATCATGATAAAGTAACCAACCACGACGATCTTGTTGAAGGAGACAAACATGATGAAACCATTGATGGTGGCCATGGATCAATTAGAGAAGTCCAAAAAGATGGAGTTGCAGATGACATTCTTCATGTCGATGACGAAAAAGTCGGAGGAACAAAACAAAATAAAGCAGCTACGGACCATAGTCATATTGGGGATGGACAAACTGTTAGAGGAAAACAAGATGAAGTGGCTATTGGCCATAGTCAGGTTGGGGATAGACAAAATGTAGGAGCAAAACAGAATGAAGCAGCTACTGACCATAGTAATGTTGGGGATGGACAAACTGCAGGAGCAAAACAAGATGAAGCAACTATTGACCATGGTCATGTTGGAGATGCACAAACCATAGGAGCAAAACAAGATGAAGCAGCTACTGATGATTGTCATGTTGGGGATGGACAAAATGTAGGAGCAAAAAAACAGGGTGAAGCAGCTGATCATGTTAGTAATGTTGGGGATGGACAAACTGTAGTGGCAAAACAAGATGAAGCAGCTATTGATGATAGCAATGTTGGAACTGGAGCAACCAACAGCGATCATTCTAGTAATTATTTGGGTGACGATGGCCATCCCGGAGGTACACAAACTACGGTAATTACGCTCCAAGGTTTCTAATTTCGTATTACATTCCATGTATTTGTATATAACTTGCTCTCTTTATTCACAAACTCATTTTATATCCAAAATTGTATATATAATGTTTAGTTCACCCTAATCACATGTACGGATTAACATATGTTTTTATTGATTGAAACTGTCATGTCTTTTGGTACACTATGCATTAAAAAGTCGAAGGAAAATCTTCCCAGCTTAAAAGTATTATGGATTTCTGTTACACTATTACCGCATTGATATATTAGAAATGTATTTTTTTTTAGGAGTAACTAGTTTGTAACACGACTCATGCGCGTGTTAGGTAGAAGATTGCAAAGTAGTAGTGTTACATTTTTATTCTAAAATATAGCTATATTATGGAATTCTATTTAGGCATTAGATTTTAGAACAATAATAATAATTAATTATAAAAGAACTTTACAAGCGGTAAACTTGGTGCATGTGTTTGAGATTGTTTTGTTGAAACGTCTTCCTCTCCCATTTTAATACAATGCTATATAATTGGTAAACAATGCTTGTTGAGAATATCAATTGGGTGTTGGATATACATCATCTAGCTTATCCTTTCAACCTCGTCTTTTTTGAGCACATTGGTTGGCAAAATAATAGGATAGTTGATTTCCTTTCAACCTCGTCTCTTTTGAGTACATTGGTTGGCAAAATAATAGGATAGTTGATTTCCTTACCAAAGAAATGCTGCTAATATTTTATCTTTGTATTTGTTGTTGGCCTCCAGATTCTTTTCCCCTTTAGTTATTTCTCATACTTGAAGATGAAAGACTTACCGATGTAGCCAATTTAGTAGTGTCCTCTATTATTATTTAATTGAAGTGACTTTCGTATGGAAAGGGAAAAAAAAAACAAAGCTAATACCTTGCAATTCATACGAAAATAGTAGTGTACTAGACTATTATATTCTATTCCACTCAACCTATAAACTTTAGAAAAATAAAATTAAGAAAGTAAGAAAAATATACTAAAAATGGAAGACACGAAAGTTTTGTGAATATATATATATATATAGCTCCTTATATAACTGTAGGAGTCCAAGATCATAAAATTTTGATCATAAAACTATTAAAATTTTGTTATTAATTATAACAAAAAAAAAAATGAGCTCATAAATTTTAGAATTCATCTTTAGAATAAAATGTACAAAATTTTTAAAATTAATCTTCTCATATTCCATTATTAATTTTAACGAAAAGTAAAACCATAAATTTTTCTTAAATTTTTCATATTCAAGCTTTTTCATATTTTAAATTTTCACATTTTTGTCATTGGTTAATTTTATGCATTTAAATTATTCATAATTTCAATTTACATTTATAACATTATTTTTAAAAATTATTTAACTATTTAAATTTAAAAACTTTTGAAATTTATCCTTTATTTATTATAATTAAAGAAAAAATAATAATTGGCAGAGGTTAAATTAATAAAATATGAAAAAATGTAAAAAATATTTTATTTTAAAAAAGTGAAAGAGTGATAATTTATTTATTATTGTATTTATGTGAGCATGTGAAAGGTTAGAAGTGAGGTGATATTTTAATTATTTATCTAAGTGAATGTGGTATAGATGTGTCAGGATGGCAAAAAAACCCGTGGGACCCGATCGGATTGGGAAATTCTCGGTTTGACCAAGGACGAGTCAAACCCGAGATCCTAATTGGGGTCCCCGATGGGGACGGGGCGAGGATGGGGGAGGTCTCCCTGCCCCGTTCCCGTCCCCGTCCCCATCCCGTTTAATATTTTATTAAGTTTTCTATTTTTTATATAATAATATTAATATATATTAATTTTTATTAATACTTTTTATTTTTATTTTTTGAAAAAAAAAAACTCAAAGCTAATAACCTATTTATCCACTTTTCTTCTTTTTTTTTATACTAGTAATAAAAAATTAGTTAAAAAAATTAAAAAGTATATATATTTAACGGGGGTGGGGATGGCCCCCGGCCCCGCCTCGCCCCATTGCCATCCCTATAGGTGTGTGCTTATCACCACAAATATGCCTCCACATTTGAGTATAAGAAGCAATTGCGCAAAAAAAAACAATTGGAATATGTGAGAATATGTGAGATATAGATAGCTAAATACAAAACAAACTATAAAGACTAAACTTTTCTTTGTATTCCACCCATAAGAAACTTAAAACTAAATAGAGAAAGAGTAAGAATAGCAATAACAACAACAATTAATTTGAAAGGAAAGTTTAGCAAATAATCATTAAATTTGGTGAAGCCAAATGAGGGGTAAAGCACAACCACTCTCTCCATGAATCAAAGAGATTGACAAAATCTATTCACCGTAACTACAAATCTAATTAGTCTCAACATGATACTACCTTACAATTTGAGGAGCAATGAGAAAACATAGTTTTCTGTCGTGATGATAATGGATATGACTCATTTCTCAATTAACTCTCTCATGAATAATGAGGCTTTTTTGTTCACCTGTGATGATAATGGATATGACTCATTTCTCAACTAACTCTCTCATGAATAATGAAGTTTTTTTGTTCACCTAACAATATTGAACAAATTGTTGAAGAAAAAAGATAAAAGTTATGTCGTGTACAAAATGAATGAAAAATGAATCCTTTTTATAGTTATATGTTGGAGTGGTAAAACTTTTGGTATTACAATTTTTTTTTTAATTTCATGAAGTATATAAATGAAGGTAAAACTATTCACATTCTGCCTTTTTAAATTTCCTTCTTTTATATTCCTTTATCAATAATTATAAGAGCAATTAATTTTTATTTATAAATTAAAAATTTCAACAACTGTATAAAAAGTAAAAATTAATTTAATTTTGATGTAAACGTGCGGGTAGTGCAAAGGACTTTTATATATACTAGCAACAATCATGTGCAATGCACGTGAAATTAAAGGTTTGTTTTCCAAATATATTAAAAATGATGTTTAAAAAACTAAAATATGAATTTACGAAAACTTAAAAGGCAAAATAAGAAACATACATTCTCCTTCATAGATACATCTCTACCATTTGATTGTGATATTTCATATCGTAGTCTAGATCACACACCATATGCGGATGATAACACTTTCTTTATGTAACCACATCTAATGGATTAACTTCTCTCAACGAACATATTTACCTGAATAATTTGTTCTTGTCAATAAATTTTTGAAAATTTAAATGGCAAAATAGGAAAACAAAAATCCTTATAATATGAAAACTAATACAATAATCTAATATGTAAATAATTAATTTAACAAATCAAGTAATAAATATTCATGGTTAAGTACTCAAGTTAGTTAATAAAGACATAAACGTAAAAATAAACATGAAATAAGGAATTTAAAAGTAGTTAAGACATATAGAGCAACAATCAAGAGTCTATATTACGAAGAATAGGAACATTAATAAATTAAAATAAATCATTAATATATTAATATAAAAATGTAATTTTATACTATATCTCATCATCAAATCAAATAAACTTATGGATTCTTGGATCTTTAGTGTTTCTCTTGCAAATAACAAAAATTTTTCATTGCAAGAGAAAAGCCTTCATAAATATTTTGAGAAGGAAAAATATACAATTTTATGCACGGTGTTTTATTTCATGTTATATAGATGTTTGTAATCACACCTATTTGGAAATGGATATATCATTTCATCAATCACACCTCTTGGATTAACTTATCTATCTACAAAAAAAAAATACTATCGGTCTACTATATTATATATAAATAATTATCAATCTCAATCGCACACATATGTGAATGAACACATCACTTCTCTCAAATTTTTTAAAAATGAAAAAAAAAACGCTTACTATATATAAATAATATATCTTATTGTTATTCATTTAAAAATATATTAAAAAATTCTTCCGTCAAATTTTAGCAAAGAAATATATAAATATATATGAGATATTTAAACTCTAATTTTCTAAAAATTAGATTTTAAAAATTAGATTTTTTTTTTCAGCACTCTCGAATGAAATGGTGCAGTCACCGTATACTTTTGAACTTATTTTCAATTTATACATATACATGTACATATTTTATTTGTTTAGTTTATCTCTTTAGTTTAATTATTGTTGCTTATTTTTATCAAATTTTCAAGTTTTTTTATATAATTTTTATTTTGAATTTTGCAGAATCCAAATAAGTCGACAATTTTGAAATTAATTGTTTAAGTTACATTTTTTTTTAAACTTACTATAAATTTGAGGTTATTTTTAATATAATAGTTAGTAAAAAAAAACCAAACAAAAATAAGTTCGTAAAAGATATTTACAAAAATGACCTTGCTAGCCTCAATATCATACTTTTATGAATTCTTGACTTGTAAATCAATTGAAACCCCCAACAAAGTTTCTAGATCCGCCACTGATGATGATGATTATTATTATTTTTAGTAACACGTTCTTTAATTTTATTATTTATGAATGCATGTAAATTAGTACCTTCATTTAATTTTTATACTATTATTTTTAGAAATAATTTAATTAGTAAAATTCTAAATTTTTTTTACTTCTATTATTATTATTATTATTATTATAAATATATATATATATATATTTATTAGAGTTACTAAATTAATTTTTACCCATTCTTTAAAAAAAATTGCTTAGTAATTTATTAACAATCAATTAAATAAGATGATTCTATAAAATTTAAATACTTTATTTATAAAAGAACAATTAATTGGTAAGTACATGCTATATAAAATTCAAATAATAATATTCTAAATAAATGGACAAAAAATTTAAAAGTTTTCGACAAAAAAATAAAAATAAAAAAGAGATGAAAGAAAAAGAGAAAAAAAAAGAAAGAAGAAAAATAATTAAAAAGAGAGGATATTTAATGTTTAAACTCACCGCCTTAAACCATTAAAATTTAAAAGGTCTGGACAAAAAAAAATAATAAAAAGAGAGGAAAGGAAAAAAAAACAAAGACAAAACATTAGAATGAAAGGAAAGTTAACAGGGGAGAGAAAATTAAAATTAAAATTAAATGAGGGAGAAATGAGTAGGAGGGAGAGGAGAGATCCACGTAAAACAATATCATCCAATAAATGTTTCTTCGAAATCGGTACTTTTATATATAATTATAGATTATAGATTATATAGATTATAGATATAGATTATAACTATATCATTTTCAAAAAGAAAAAAAATCATAAATATAGAATTTTTTTTTCT